TGTCATCAGAAACACTCTGCTCATCTCCAGTTCACTCCCAGAACAGTGGGACTGGGTTACTGTCAAACCTTTCCATGGCTCCCTGGAGTTTTTCCTCCTGCTAAGCCATTGCAGGGAGGGGCAAGAGGGGAACAAATTGGTGCAGTACTTAAATTGTTTTACATTTGATATTCATGAATTTAAAATGAATTGCAGTGTCAAAATATGCCCAGCTGCATTCTGTGAGAAAATGATTTATTTGCCAGTGTATTAAACTGATTTTCAGCCACTAGTGGGGATTAGATAAAATCTAATTTACTTATGCACAGCCATGTGCTGGTACAGTGGTGATGGTAATAGTGTGATTCTTGTAATAATCACTGGTCTGCCAGAGCAGGGCACCACTTCCCAAAGTTTCACTTTGTTCCTTTACAGTAAATCTCACATTTGTGTCTTTGTTCTGGCACATCCACCATTTCTCTCAAACTGTTACAAACACACACTTGGCCCAGTTCCTGCTGCCACAGTGCTGCAGGTCAGCCCTCCTGCTTCTGGTGTGTGACGTGGCAGTGACTTTGCTGACAGTGTCACAGGAGTGCTGTGGCACAGGCTCCAGTGTAACCTCCGTACAGCCACGGAGCTGCCCTGCATGGAATTGTTGCAACTTGTTGGTGAAAACTGCCTTTGTGTTCAGGTGTCCTCATCCTTTCTTTTGGCTTCCTAAGCATGCTTGTGTCACAGCAGCACTTGCAGAAGTGGCTCTGGCTGTCTCAGCACCACCCAGCAGCCGGGGAGATGGTTCTGGTAGCTGTCACCAGGGGTAGAAACAGGGGCTGGACAGGAACCACCCCTCACTTGCCCCCCTTAAGGTTCTGTGAGGTAAAGAGTCCTGCCTTTAACAGGGAGATTGGTAAGAGAGCCAGCTAAAAGTATTTCTGGTTGTGACTTCTCCAGTGTCTGCTTTGCACTCTAGAAATGTTTTCAGAACTGCTTCTGAGTGAGTGTCTGTCCTTCCTGCTCAGAGGTACACGCAGAGCAATGGCCGCAGGCCCTTCGGGATCTCTGCCCTCATCGTGGGCTTTGACTTTGATGGGACCCCACGGCTGTACCAGACCGACCCCTCTGGCACGTACCATGCTTGGAAGGTGAGTTGGTTCAGTCTCTTGTAGACGTGGGATGAAATATTTGTGACTTAATGTTCCCTTTAAAGAGGGACTGGTGTAGAAAGGAGATCTTGCTGGCCAGATGGTACTGGCTCACAGCTGCAAAAACCCTTAATGATAAATGTACTGAGAGTTGCAGTCTGCAGTTCAGCTCTCCTTGGGAAACCTTTTCCTGCTTCCCAAAAAAACCCCCAAAACCAACCTACCTGTGTGTGTCAACTCTCTTTGTGTTTGACATGAGGGAAGCAAGATGTTCAGCCTCCTGAAAAATACACGGTGATCACAAAACGGCTTCAGATTATGTAATTGTACAACTTGTATTTCTTGCTTATACTGTAAATGAAATCTCTAAAATCTCATTCATTGTCTTTTTCCCCTGAATGTTTCCAGGCTAATGCCATTGGCAGAGGAGCCAAATCTGTGCGTGAGTTCCTGGAGAAGAACTACACTGATGAGGCCATTGAAACGGATGATCTGACTATTAAACTTGTCATCAAGGCTCTTCTCGAGGTGAGGCTCCTTCACATCCCTTGTGTGGCTTTTCACGGGGTGTCCAGATTCACTTCTTACATGTGAATATGGGAAAATCTTCGTGGCTGTCCCAGGGAAGTACTGCAAAGGATCTGTGAGAGCTGTTTGCTGTGGGTGTGGAATTAAATTCAAGGTTCAGCATATCTGGCGTAACAATATCCATAGTTTACACAGAAGAACTTACCAGCAGTTCTGAGGAGGAAAACAGACTTCAATTCTGGGCACCAAAGATGTGTGAAACCACACACTGAATATTATAAGGTATAGAAAATATCCCAGGTCAGGTGGTGGGCTGAGGTGTTCTGGTGTTCTCCAGCCACTGAGGGCACTGGCACCAGCGTGAAGACCCTCGTGTTTTGAGAGTCACACTGCTGCTGGCATCAAGAGCTTAGAGCTAAGGAGTGAAATACTCCCCATACATCTCTGTTCTCCTTCCAAGGAGACCTGAAAGGGCTTTGTTGGAATGAATTACTGGCCATGCTGCTAATGCCTCCCTGTGCCTCTCAGGTGGTGCAGTCTGGTGGGAAGAACATCGAGCTGGCGGTCATGCGGCGGGAGCAGCCGCTGAAGGTAAGGCCTTTGTTTGCTTCTCTCCCTTTGAGCCTGCCTCTGATACTGTCCTTGTTGATCTGCCTTAACTCCCAGCCCTTAATCTCATATTCTGCACTGACAAATACTTCAGTTTATTCTTAGTGGCCAAGGAATGTTGTTGTGTCTGCAGCAGGTACCTGCCTCCGGGTAAACAGTTAACGTTCTTCCCATCGCAAACTAGAATCGCTTCCATAAATGCCTCTAAGTTTATTGGTATCTTGAGGGTCACCTGTGTTTCTCTTTTAGATCCTAAACCCTGAAGAAATTGAGAAGTATGTCGCTGAAATTGAAAAGGAAAAGGAAGAAAACGAAAAGAAAAAACAAAAGAAAACATCATGATGAATGAAATGCAACCGCTTAGCTGCTTGTTTTTAATTCGAGTGATGGGTTTTTCTGTATAGACATGTAGGCATTCCACTTACTCATACTGTGCCCTCTTGAGACCTACAATAAACCTACTGATTTTTTTTTAAAGCTGTTATTTAAAAAAAATCTGTCTGTTCCTTGGATTTTAATTACCCAGGATGATTTGCTTGGCTACAGAACAGCAGCAGTGACCCATTAAAGGACAGAGACTTTGCTTGCATGTTTTTCCCTGGACACTTCGCTTTGTTTAATGGTTCTTTTCTGCACTGTCTCAGTTCTCAGCGTCTCCCTTTATGTTTTTTTAAGCAGCTGTCTTGAGGGTTGTGTTATGGCCTTGACAGAACTAATAAGGAGTTAGGGAAGAAAAAGCCCAAATGGCATCAAGGTGAAAGGGCTGAGTCTGGACACAGGCCTTACAGCAGCCTGTGACAGCAGGTGTGTGTTTTACTGCCGAAGGATGGGACAGAGATGGTGGGGCTGTGTTTTGGGAGTCAGCAGGAGAAGCCACTGCTGCAGGCACATCCCCAGGGCAGAATTGCATGACTTGGTGCTTCCATCGACTGTGCATGGCTGGTGTGGGTCAGAATAAAGCATTGCTGTTGTAATTGCCCACGAGGGGATTCATACACCGGGAACTAAAGAACTACACCCACTGTTACATACAACAGAGCTGAACCACAAAGCTCTACTCCTTTCATTTTCGCCTTCACATACTTCCTCTCTACCCCTTGCACCTGGACTTGGTTTTGGCTCTTGTTTCATGATTGTTCCCAGTCCCAGTGGTTGTGTGAGCAGGGCTGCAGGGACCTGCTGCTGTGCCCTGAAACCACATTGCTCTTGAGGCAGGATCTGTTCTGCAGCCATTCACATATATAATGGCATATGCTTAGAAATGGATAAATGAAGGTGTGAGGTGGCAGCTGTTTACTGAGATGCTGTATAACCAGCCCAAAAGAGATGTGAGTGGGAATGGGGAATTTTTTTCAGGCAGGTGTTTGCATTGTGGCAGCTCCACTGCCCAGCTCTGGTCACTGAGCTCTTTACAGCAGGTTCATCAGCTGCCACCACCTCTGGGCTGTGGGAGGACTGGTCAGGAGGATTCTCTGAGTACAGGGACCTCAGTAGCACGGAGAAGGCAGGAAGAGACCAGCTGGGAGCTGAGGCTCTTCCTGCAGGCAGGGTTTGGCAGAGTCAGAACAGGACCCAGCTGGCAGCAGGCACAGCAAGGACTGAACGTGGCCCAGGAGCCTGCGAGAGGCAGATCAAGGTCTAGAGGAGCCCAAGGCAGCAAACAAACCTGCAGCAGCACTCACAATCCCTGAGCTCTCACACCACTGAGCTGTTTACAGAGAGAGGCTGCAGAGCAAAGTGTGGGCAGAGGATCCCGTAGGAGTCAAGGACAGGGAAGCAGCAGCCCCGCTACTGCTCAGGGAAGCGTTAGACCACATCAGCTGGAGAAAGTGAGATGCTGGAATACTGTGTCACTTTGTTCATCAGCCCTTGGACTAGAAGTTAAAAAAGCTGCATTTGGTTCCTTGTACAAGTCACCACAATCATTCCTCTCATTGGGAATCCTCCCTGGGGAAGCCCACAGGGCTGCAGCCAAGCCCCCAGAGCAGCCTTCAACAGGGATGAGTGCTCCTGGGGAGAAAGGCTCAGGGGTAACAAGCCCTGGGGCTGAGCCACAGCAACCCGTTCCCTCACTGCTCCCAGACAGCAGGACACTGGGTTCAGAGGCTGGAACACATCCATCCATAGGACACAAACTTCAGCAATGTCAGTAACAATGACGTGTCTTATGCCTGGGATCTGAGGCTTTCCTGTGGAAACAAGGGAATTGCTGCCATTCAAATAAAAAGGCACAGTTACATGGGGGTAATGGTGATTACACAGGAGCAATGATGATTTCTCAGTTTGCCTCAGCCACTTCTGGCAGGGCAATGGACTGGCAGCACAATTCCATCTCCACACTTGGAGCCACACTGGCTGCTTCAGCAGCAGAGAAAGCAGAGGCTCTCAGCAGCTCCAGAGCCCCTTCAGCACCCCTTGTTTCACAGCTGAGCCCAGGTCCTGCAGCAGCAGCACTGCACTTGCAGCAGGCTCCAGGTGAGCCCCAGCAGCCCAGGGACTCAGCTCCACACAGGCTGGGGTAACAGAACCCTCATTAGGCTGATCCCCCAGCACAGGAACCAGGGCAACATTAACAAGGAGCAGTGCCTGGATTTGGGTGTTTTGAGTCCTTTTCCAGTGCTGTGTAGCACTTGCCAGAGCCCTGCAGCCAGGTTTTCTCCAGGTTGGCACAGAGCCCCAAGGACAGGCACCTGGCACGTTGGAAGGAGTGATGTTACCGAGCTATGCACAGAACAGAGGTGGAGGGAAACAGTAAACATTTACATGTTTATTATAATTACAATTTACATTACTCCAAAGAGCAGCCCCACTGCTATGTTCTAATTCTTAGCAATAAAGTCCTACAAAAATAAATCCAAGCTTTTACAGTAACCTAGGTCAATGCATAACTAAAAAACTCGAGCTATGTAAGGGGTTCAGTCATCAAGGTGCTTTTTCAACAAAATTCCCTACCAACCAAAAACGGGACACATGCCTATAGCAATTTAACCCACTTATTCATGCAAACAAAGGTAAGCCCTCCCTCCCAGCCCTCTCCCCACATACAGATTTTTAAAAACAAAAGAAAAAACAACTAAACTATTTACAGTATGGGGGTATAGAGGAAAGAAATTAAACATGCCCATCTGTTAAGCTTCATTATAATGGACTTCCATCCCTAGCTGAATGAAAACATTCCAAAGTGTTCCACCACAGTCTACTAGAGTACAGAGAACTGTTTGCATTTGGTGCTGCCTCCAGCGAGGTACAAACTGAGGCAACAGGTCAGAGCTTTGGGCCTCCACTGCCAAAAACTCTGTACTGAGCACACGAGGGGACACTCACTGCTCCCGTCCCACACGCTATCCCCATGCTCCATCCAGGAGCTCCAAGCCCCCGAGGCATTCCCAACCCCCTTCAGCTCGAGGGAAAGCCTCGGTTCTGCAGTACCTCCAGCCCAGCACCAGCCCACAAACAGCTGTACAGTCAGTTACACTACTACATGATCAACACTCCAGTATTCCCAAGTGACAATATACACAACTCCTCAGCACCAGGAATCCATTCCTTCAGATACCAAGTGCTGCTTCACACCTGCTGCCAAGAACTGTGAGACCAGCAGCACCAAAGAATCCATTTGGTTACTCAGAACAAAACGAATCGTAGCTGGTTTATTTTGAGTGAGCTTTGGTTCCGTGTTAAAACAACATGATTTATCTTCTCCAGGGTTCAGAAAAGGAGTCTGACTTTGAGCTTAGGCTACAGCAGCCTTTGAGAGACCCAGAAAGAAGAACTGTGTAAGTTAGTCTGCACTTAAAAAATACACACACAAAAAAAAAAAAGACACCCTGAAGAAGGTACCCCTGAACACATTCCCTCTTCCAAAGAATATTCCAGCTGACTGTTGCTGGTCCAAAAATAAGTCCAGAATATAAGCAGTAGTACATGAAGTTCTGTCACTTGAGCTGAGACAGTAAACAATATGAACCATTTTCCCACGTTAGTGCAGCAGTTGGTTGTTTTCTTTCTATGTACAGTTTCACCCTCTCAGGAGAGATGTTCAAACCTATTTGGAAAAGAGGTAGAATTAGATTTGATATCATGGAGATCTTCTCCCAAGAGAAATAAAAGCAGCAAAACTCACACCCCTGTATCAAAAGAAATGCTTAGCTAGAAAGGATCAGCTCAAGCAGCTCCTGCTTTCTCAGACAGGTGAGCCCAAGAAATCAACAGCACAATCAGCATGTTAAACACCAGGTTAAACCACTCCTATCCTCCTCAGAAAGATCAATCAGATCCAGTAAGGAACAATTCTTGATATATCCATGAGACTGGAGAGCAAAACAGGCTGCACAGACAGTTCAGGTAAGGAATAAGAGACAAACCTGGCTCAGAGACAGTATTTACTCTTGCTAGAGCACTTGCCTCTGAAGTTACACTCTGCCAGTACCAGCTCTGTGAGTGGTTTGGTTTCTCCTCGCTGCTCCACTCCCCCTTCCACCTCGAAATCCACCTCGAAAGCTGCGGCCACGAAGGAACCGTCCAGACACTCCGAACGTCTCTGTATTGAGCTTCCTTTCCTCAGCCCACGTGGTGCGCCTGGAACTGAACAAGGCTGTGTTCAGGTTCAACACAAACATTCAAGAGCCACGAGCTCACTTAGCCAGGAAGCCTCAACTCCCCAGTTTTGTTGAGCGGAGTTGCAACAAGAGCCCGCTGCAGCACACACATTCAAGCCCCCTGCAGAAACACTGCCAAGGGAATCCCTCATGCTGACACTGAAGGGATGTCTGACTTCTCCAGGCACTTGATAACATCAGTGTCAGCAGTGAAAGCTGAAGCTTTCCCTTCATATTCCCAACATTTAACTTAATGCATTTCCACAGCCAGACCTGACCTCCTCCCTGCCCCAGCTCCAGGCTTAGCTCACTCCTGTCTGCCAGCTGCACCTTCAGCACAGCATGACCCTGATGCCTCCTCTCCCACGAACCAGATAAGGAATTTGTTTAAAATCAATGGGTTCAAAGTCAGTACTGGGAAACAAAACTGGAAATTCCTGTATCATCGTTTAGGCAAGTGCATCATTATGAGCTGAAATGCTTTTTGTTTGATCCCACTGCATGAAGGCTGGTTAGGATTACTTGTGAGCCACCAAATGCACGGCAATGCTCCCTTTTAAATCCTGTTTTGCTGAATTTCTTGCATTCTGAAAATTTTAAATACTTTTAAACCATGTCACATAGATTATGTTTAGAATTTTATGCCTAAAATTCCATTTAAAAACCAAGCCTTTAGAAAACACTCACCTCGATTTCAGTTCTGAAGAAATGTTGTCAAAGAAAGACTTGGATTTATCATAATAGCAGTTGGGCCCCAGCAGATCCTCCTCTGCATTACCATCATTGTTTTGGGTTGCCACTCCAGGGTCCCCTTTTTCTTCCCCCGTCTCTGCTTTGTCATCTGAAGATAATGAAATGTATTACACTTCCTTGAGGCACACTGCAGAGCCATCTGTTCTCTTGCTCCCTCAAACAAGATTTGAGATGTAATCATGCAGTTTCTCAGAATGAGTTTGTCTATGCAGTGTTTACTATCTCAGCAATTCATATTTAATGAAGACACAAACCTTTAAAGTTTAGTTTCTTCTTGAATTCTTTATCAAGTTCCTCTCTGTTGAATTGTGCATTTGCACTTTCAAAGTCAAAGTCACCTTCAAACTTTATTGTATTTTCCTTCACAGTAGTTGGTCTGTTTTGTCCTCTAGAACGGTTTCTGGTTCTCCTGTTTCCTGAAAGCAGGAGAGTTTAAACACTGGGTAACGCACAGGGAGGTTACATGACTTGCTCAAGACCAGAGGAAACCAGGGATAGAACTCAGGAGTTTCTGGCTTCCAGTCCTGTGGTTAGGCCACACCTCTTTGAAAGCAACTTCTGAATTTGGCTGTAGAAGACATATTACAGCAACACTTTAACTTTCTGAGCAGCATTCCTGGATGTCAGTCTTACCATTAAGACAGAGTGCACCTGACTCTCCTTCCAGAGCGCAGAGAGGAAGTCAGAACAGCTATTACAGCAGGAAAATCTGAGGGAAGTGGGGAAAACTATCTTTCCTGTCTGCCTTTCACCTGCAAGCACAGCACTGTAACCACCCTACAGACTTGTTACGATGGCAAAAAGGAGGAGCTTTCAGAAAATCCACCCAAGGCTCATCTACCCATAAAGGGAGCTTGTACTTCATATTGTACTTCTGGTTTCCAACTGAAACACTATCCACTCCTTTTAGGAAAAGCTATAAACTGTTCTACACACAAATTAGTTTGAAGACCTGAGAGTCTGAAGTTTTGTTTCCTGTCTTTTCTCATTTTGCTTGGGCAGAAACATCTCCTTGAATTTCACTTTCTTCTGACCTGTGCTTAAACTGCCATTGTGAGATAAGATCTCTGCTCTATGGAAGTGAGAGCTCCATAGTTCCTCTCTGTTATAAAAACTCCGGAAAGTCTTAAACAAGACTGCCCTTTCCAGTAAAAATACTTGAGGTTTCAGAGAAATCCAGTTGCTGCTGCCAACTCACAGCATCGATTTTTACAACATAACTTCAGTTTTCTAGAAAGACCGCTAGAATTCCATCCCTGAAACACCCTGAACTTCTGAACACTCCAGAACCTGTTTTGTTAAGGAAGCATCTCTGGATACCCAAAGTCTTATCAAGCTTTATTTTGCTCTCTGTCAGATAATCCTTCCCTGAAGTTAACACCACTTGCCTTTAGATGATAACATGACTGTTCAGCTTAACCTACCCGATCTTCTCCTTTGAGGTCTTCTGTTCTCATCATTCACCTGTCCTTGGGTTTGCACAGGTGTTGCCTGAACTGTATCTACTAAACAAGAAGGATAAACTTAATAAAGGAGCAGGAGAACAAACCCAAACCAGCTCAGTCCTGCAGTGCACCTCTGCAGGATGCCACAATCCAGCCCTCAGAGCTGAGGTGGTGCTTACGTACCGCTCGCCTTGCTGTTGGCCGGCGGAACCTGCCGGGCACCGCGCGGAATCCCCGGAGTCACCTTCACTGGGGGCAGCTTTGGGGAATTCACACTGTCCACTGGGCCGGTCTGAACAGCCTGTTCCACCATGGGGCTTTTGCGGACTGGGTGAACAGAAGGAAAGCCAGCACCTGGAAAAAATCCCAGTGACTAAGTGCCTCTTGGAAAACGTGCCAACACCACTCAAACCCTGCCCACTTCTATGGAGAAACAGTTTGGTCAAGAATTACTCAAAGCCTTGAGTGTGAATCATTACAGGCTAAGTTTCAGTGCCACATACTCTAGGTAAGGCACCACTGCCACACAAGTCATGGCTCTCAAATCCAGAGCCTTAGTACCAGGAAATCTACCCCTTTATTTCATAAACCAAGTTAGACAAACATCAGATAACCAAGCCAGGTCAGTCTCTCAGACAGTTTATACCAAAATATAATTTCTAGGTGTATCCTTGGTTATGCAGGATTGTACTTTATATGATAACAGTTAAATCTGAAACAAAAAGCCATCATTTTGAAACTGTTCAAGCAAGTTCCCCACTTTGTCAAAAAAGTCTTGCAGCAAACACTTAAGCACCTCAGCTATATCCCCTTTTGTAAGCTGCTTTTAGAGGTTCTTCAAATTCATTGCTTATTGTTAGAGCTTTCAGACAAAGAAAACCTGAAACCAGACCAGGATCTCAAAGTTACCCTTTTAAATTCCTTCTTGGTCAAGGCCAAAGTGTTACCAAGACTTCTGTTGCTCTTCCATCCAGGCTTATTTATTCACACTACAAAACATGTAAATACTTTTCATGGTTTGGTATACCTTACACCAATTATATTAAAAAGTGACAGTCTTCAGTACTCAGAAGAAACACTGCATTCTAGGTTTAATTAGAAGGTTTGGAGTACTACAGGTTTATGTAATTATGCATAAGAACCGCTTGGAAGCAAAGTTTAACTGAATATATTAAAAGAGCAAGAAAAGTGAAAAGCTGAAGAGTGCACACAAACCAAGCCACTGACACTTCTGGGTCACCCAAGTCCACATGAGATATACCCAGTAGGTTACATCATGCAGGTTCCCAGTTAATGTACACCTGGAAAACTTGCAAGGAAGACAGACATATCCTAAGGATTATTCAGCAGGACAAAGCTGGTGTGCAAGTTTAACATGACAAAGTTTCAAAGTTTAGCCAGAATACTGAGAAACGGATAGATGGCCAAAACCAGAGAGCGAGTAAAAAGCTTCATGCCAACACAAGCATACATGCTTAAGCTAAAAACAGGTGAAACTAATTACCATGTTTAAATGCAGGCTGCACCTGGTCTCTCTGCTCTGAGGATGGTCAGTCTAGTATCTCTACTCAGCCTCCTTTAAATGTTTTACACACAGAAGCAAGCACCCAGAACTGTTATCTCAGCTACCCAGGACTCAGGAATTGCTTACTGTTAGTCATGCTTTACTAACTAGGAGTGTGGACAAGGTACAACGCCCCATCATGCAGGAAATCTATCCTGATGTTTCCTCAGTCACAGAAATACTCCTAAATTTTCAAACAACCTGGGTCTCTAACCACAAGACCACCCACAATTTAAGCAGTGTGCTTGTCTTTCCAGGAAAGGCCAATTCATTCCTCACCCAATCCCTACGGTGACACATGTTCCTGGACAGGATGCAGCACACTAACATCACTAAACTTCACCCCTCTCCTGATACTTACACAAGAGGATCCACTGTCATGGATTTTTCCTTTCTCCTGTCTCTCTAATTGGTAATTCTAGGACAGGAGGAGTAATACTTCATGTAATGGAAGGCAAAAAAAGCTGAGAACTAGTTCTACTGGCATTACCCATATAAGCACCATCATTCTAGGAGGGGTTAACAAGAACAGTGTTTGCAAGTGCCATGCAGTTCTTCCAAATATTTGGAGTCCTCAAACTGCTGTTACCCTTGGAAGAGAGCTGATGGGGCTCTGAAGACATGTCAGGCTCTGAAACAGGTTGTGGAGACGGAGAAGAACTAGGGCTGGAAGCAGCTGCTGATGCTGGAGGGCTTACCAATTTCTCTGAAGAGATAGAGGGAAGAAGAGAGAGCAAAGATATATGGATAAGATACTAGGTAGTGAAACATCTGAAGGACTTGGAAAGAGGCACAAGAATCTCTAGAACAGCACCAGAGCAGCTTATTTACAGTCCTCTCTGGGAACACAAGTTCTTTTTACATGTGATGCACATGTAAGGTGTGCCAGATTAAAAATGAACTGGCCTCAACTGTTAGGTATTCACATTACTTTCAGAAAGAAACTTGAGCTATTTATTTTGTTTCTTTCCTGTGCATGTGTGTGTGCACGTGTAAGTGAAACACAGGCCTCCTTGTAGTACAATCATTGCACAAAGTTAACTACTTATTCACAGCCTGACAAGGAGTAGTCACTGAATTAGTCACTGTTGTTTTCACAGTAGGTGCATTACAAGGACTGAACCTTTATTCTAGCAAGTAAAGTTGTTACTTACCTAAACCTAAGGAAGCTGCATACTGCTGGCTAAGCAAAGAGCTGGCAGCAAGCTGGCTGTAAGGTGGCATACCTCTAAACGGGCTGTAAGGCACATGTGGCTGAAAGGATGATGTAGAGGCAGAGCCCAGTGAAGACTGTAACAAGACAAAGTACATTTCCATTTACAGTGTCCAGAAGTCAACTTGCTTTGGCAGTGATTCTCTACTTCACGTACAGCAATACTAAAGCTTAAGCAAATACTCAGAAGGGTTAGTTTACCTCTTTATGATTTTCCTGCATTCTCAGCTAGTTCTGGCTTTTGTTGACTGAAGTCTTTAATGCTGCTGCTATTTTAAACATTACAACAAAATTCAGGATGCTTCAAACAATCTGAAGATTCCTGGAGACACTGACTGGCCTTCATTTTTATAAGTTTTTACCAAAATCCAGTCCTCCAACACCAATGTTTTATCACAGCTTTATAGCAACGCTTTGGGCTAACTTACTTGGACAATGGCAGGATCTTGTGGCAGAGTATGTTGAGCTTTTGGAGGTTCACAGACAGTGATGTCTTTGATGTCACTTCCTCGAAAAATAATGTATTCATAGATTTCTTCTCTCGGAGGAGCCGGTCTGTCTGTGGGCCGGTCCTCGGTACCGAAGGATCGCACTGGAGCATTGGGAAATGACTGTTAGTGCAGGGTTACCACTGCAGCAGCGAGCAAGTTAAGATTTATGCAATTAAAAAGTACTCCTGTAACACTTGCCAAGTGTAAAAACAACAACAACAAAGGTTACCTCCAGAACCCTGAATCTCCCTCTCGCACATCTGTTCCCTCAAATGCCAACTTTTTCAGTAGTCTGCACAAACAGTTTTGTTTACATCAAGCTGTGAAGGTAAAGACCATAGACCAGCTGGAGTGAAGAATCCTACTCCACACCCAAGGACTCACTCACAGTGCTGTACTGCCATACTCCCCTTCCCTCCCCAGCACCTGTCTCATGCAGGCATTCAGCTCCAGACAACTGCAACACACCAGGGGAGAGGCCCCTGAAGCAGCAGGGGGAAATCTTAGAAGGCTTTACAGCTCAAATTTGCATCTTTGTTTTCATATATTTATTATGCAGATAAAGTTTTATCAATGATAAGAACTTCCTATTAAAATTCCCTCTCTACTCCATGTCACCATTTTTATGATTAATATGACTATAAAGCAAGCTTTTAGTGATAAATCTAAAACCTCAGTGCCTGGGGAGGTTTTACTGAGTCCCAGCTATCAGGACACTTGAGCAGGCAGTAACCAATGATGTTACACCTTAGAGTGGAAAGAAGGCTTCAGCTGACTGTGGCAGCTACCAGGTAAAAGCATAAATTAATTTGAGCCATTAATGGTGAAGAAGTCAGACTGATTTACTGGACTGTTGGCGCAGGAAAGCAGATGGCATAGTTGTATTAAACACTGACATGTGAAAGCTTGAAACTTCAGCCCCAAATTACAGAAGCTCACCCAGTTCACTAGTCTAGCTGCTTTGTCTTCATGAGGCCTTGCCAGTTTGGATTAACACCAGCACATTGGTTTATGCACATTGTCTGCCAATGGAAGAATTCTGCACTGGAGTTCCATCAATTGCTTCTAACAGGTTACCACAGAAATACTGAAACCTCTCTGCCAGGACACGCCACAATTCCTGCAGTACCTTTACAAATTCCATCCTTAACAGACCTTTCACAAGCACCTGCCATGGCACAGTCTGTGGTGACATGCCAGCCAGCTGCCACTCCCAGTGCACAGCTGGAATGATACAAGCACAGACAGCCCTGCCATGTGGATGACAGGGGACACCACAGCTTCCCTGGAAAAAGGGCACTAAAAGTGGATCCACTGAACCCCGGTGTGCTGAGCATCCCTGGCACACCATACTGCTACTAACTTACTAGGAATGTTGGCACTTGGAGGCAGGGATTCTCAAGAGTCCTGTTCTGAGATGAGCAGCTGTATCCAGGTGGCGCATCCACCCAAGCAGCAGTTAGTGCTGCAAGTGCTTTTCACCCCTCTTAGTACGTAGGTGAGCTCCCAAGGAGCAGGTCAGTGCCAGACTGTCCCTACCACACTGCACAGCACCTCAGCTGGCACCTAACAGGAAGGGCATCTTCCCTGGTGCAAGGACAAGCTGTCAGTCGCTTCCTTTGAATGGCCATCTTCCATGAATTCCTAGGGTAAATAACCTCTCCAAGTTATTTTAGATCTCCAGCTGCTGTTTGATCATATTACAGCTGTAACCCAGTCAACCAGAAGCAGATTATAAACTGAAATAAATGCTTGTGGCCTTTTGGACATGAACTGTACCACTGACACCCCAGCTTAAGCTCAGATTATTACAGCACACAGCTCATGGCAAGACATGCTAAGGGTATCCAGGGACTACTGCAGCATCCCAGGGCAAACTTGGAAAGCACCACAATCAGCCCATCAACTTCCACATGAACAAACACATGACCTGCAAAGCCCAAGGCTCTCCAGGCAGCCTCTGACTTGGCTGGTCCCAAGGTTTCTAACTAAAAAGGTGGAAAACCATGTCCTCCTTGCAGACAAAACAGAAGTGAGGGCATGTGAGAGAGTTGTAGGAGTTGAACTTGCCTGTCCCTGCACCTGAAATGTTTAACTGTTTCCGGGACAGCACAAAGTGCAGCTTTGTGCAGCTTAAGTTCCTGCAGAGGTGGGAAGGGCTGTCTCCCACGGAGTTAGTGACTATTGCTTACAGATGAGCAGGAAATCAATCCCACACCACTGCAGCTCGTATTTTACAATGAAGTTACTACTCATGTAGGGGCTGTTGAGCTAGACTTCTGAAGGGGCAAGAAGCATAACAAGAGTGACTGGATGTCTGGAAAGCAGAGCTTACGTGGATATTTCTTGCTCAAACAGTCCAATTTCTTCACACTTCTACAGGAGGGGGAGGAAGTTTCTGGTGTTCACTGCTGACAGGACAATAATGGGCCTAAGCTTCCTTTGTTTGCAATTTAAGTTCAGCATCTAACAAGGCAGAGGACTTTCTGGTAGTGATTAATTAACACGTGGAATCTCCAGCATTTAAGATACTGTGCATGTGTTAAGATTTAACAAATATAAATCAATTGAAGTTAGCCTGCCTTTGAGTGAGGAGCTAAGCCAGATTCCTTCCTGAGGTCTCTTTCAACCTAAATTTTTCTTTATGTCACTGGAATGATAGAAGTCAAGACAGTGGCACTTATGTTACACACTGAAGCTGTTTAAGCCTTAAGCAATTGCACCCAGGGCTTAAGAACAATTTACTTTAACTGCATGTCAGTAATTCATGGCTCTTCTAACCCTTCAGAGTTTTAAACCACTGTCCCCCACCCCCAGGGCTGATACTGCTGTTCCCAACTTCAACACTGTTGCTGCGTTCATAATTCTGACCCTAATTTTGGTACAGAGCCTCTAAATTTGAAAAACCCCTCTGAGCTAAAATGAAAAGCAGGGTTTGTGCTGTGAAGTTCATAGAGCAGCACTTCAAGTGGGGACAAATTATATTCTCCATCTATCATAAGAACTACTTCTTAGGCATTCCAGTTCATCAAAAACTGAACACTAAGAAACCAATAAATACAAGAACTGCCAGAAATCTTATCCAGAGCACGCACTTACATCACAAAGCGCTTTAATCACACATGCCTTTGAAACACACCACTTCAGCTCTGAAGTAGCAAGTGCTCTGTGTAAGGCAGAACTATGTGAGGAACCATTTCTACTTGCTGCTGGGTCAAGGTGAAGACCTTCCTGCACGTACAGGAAAGGAACTGCATCCTTCCAGCAACCTCTCAAGTACTTTGAGCAAAGCACTAACATAAACAGCTCCATTTGTACAGTTAAATAAACAGCTGCACTCCTAGAGCAAAAGCGAACTTGAGAAAGCTCACGTTTTTAACTTCAGAATACACTCTAATAGGTGTCAAATAGCGCCTAACATCACATAAACATCATTATACAGGATAAACAGTGTGACAGAGGCTGCCTTGAGGGTAGTTGTGAATCTGGCAAGTCAGTGTCTCCTGCCACCAAGCAGCCTTTCAAAACAAAAGGTGTTTGTTTTGTGGACAACCCGGATGGGTGGTTAAAGGCAATGAAGAACGCGTGAACTTCCCGGCACAAGGAAGGACAAAACTCAGGGAAAGAAAGGGCTGATGCACGTTAGCTGGAGTAGCCAAGCTGGACATGAAAAGCAGTGCAGAAATAAGATCATGTTTGAGAGACTGAACAAGACAAGACAGGTTTTGCTGAGAGGAAAGATGGGAGTTCCCAGCACAGGTGACGACTGGATCCAAATGACACCACTTAAGGAGAAGATAAAGATCAGTATTTCTACAGGGAAACAAGATGCAAAGCCCCGATGAGGAGCCTGCAAGGTCGGCAGGGCCAGACCCATGTGCGGGTGCCCCGCAGCGCTCCCACTCTCCTCACCTGAGCAGAGTCCAGCTATCGATCACGGCACGAACAAAGACACATCCACACCAACTCCGCTCTCCCCAGCGCCGGCCTGGGCCCTGCTGGAGCCGAGCCCCGACATACAGCCAGGCACGGCGGAGCCGAGCCCCGCACGGCGATAGGGAGCGTTCCCTCCCCGGCCCCGACAATGCACGGGGAGCCGGCGCTGCCGGCAGCGCTTTCCCCGGGAACCCCCCGTGCGAGGCGAGCACCCCGGGCCCTGCCCGCCCCTCTGCCGCGGCCCCTGCCAGTGCTGACTCACGGGGAGCAGCAGCGCCGGGGGCTCGGGGCGGGCGGGCCCCGGGCCGCGCTCATTGTTCGGGGCACGGCGGCCCCCGCCGCGTCCCCTCCGCCCGCGCCGGCCTAGGCCCGCCCGCGCCCTCCGCAGGGCCCCGCCTCACCCTTGGCCAGCGCCACGGTGGAGTTCTCGGTGTCGATGGTGTAGAGGATGCCCTCATAGCGGATCTGCGCCTTGGAGATGAGGCTGATCTTGCTGCCGATGTAGGGGGTCCCCGAGCTCATGGCGCCGGCGGGGCCGCGGGGGGTCCCAGGGGCGCGCGGAGCCGCCGCGCCGCCCACGCGCACTGCGGAGCGGGGACCCCGCCGCGCGCGCCTTATATAGGGCGGGGGGAGCCGGGCCGAGGGGGGGCGGAGGGGGCGGGGTGCGCTGCCCGCGCATGCGCCGCCCGCTATTGACCAGACGGGAGAGACGGGGTCAGACGGGGAGGGGCGGGGGAACACCCGGGGCCCGCGTCACGTGACCAGCGCGAACGAGGGTGCCACGTGCGCTGCGGGGCGGGGCGGGGCCAGAGCGGGGCGGGGCCAGGGCGCGCGCGCGGCGCTTCCCGCGCTGCCGCCGCTGAGGGGAGGGAGGGGAGAGCTGGGACTGTGACAGTGAGACACCGACCCTTGCGTGGCACTGCCCGTGTGACACTGCCCTTTGTGTGACACTGCCCTTTGTGTGGCACTGCCCTTTGTGTGGCACTGCCCTTTGTGTGGCACTGCCTGTGTGACACCGACCCTTGTGTGGCACTGCCTGTGTGACACTGCCCTTTGTGTGACACTGCCCCTTGTGTGGCACTGCCTNGACCCTTGTGTGGCACTGCCTGTGTGACACTGCCCTTTGTGTGACACTGCCCCTTGTGTGGCACTGCCTGTGTGACACCGACCCTTGTGTGGCACCAACCCTCGTGTGACACTGCCCATGTGGCACTGCCCCTTGTGTGGCACTGCTTGTGTGGCACCGACCCTCGTGTGACACTGCCCATGTGGCACTGCCCCTTGTGTGGCACTGCCCATGTGGCACTGCCCCTTGTGTGACACTGCTTGTGTGGCACCAACCCTCGTGTGACATTGCCCATGCGTCACTGACCCTCGCCCCTGTGGCACTGCCCCTTGTGTGACACTGCCCGTGTGGCACTGCCCCTCAACTCGTGTGTCACCGTTCTTCACCCCTGTGCTGTTGCCCCTCATTTCTGTGGCACTGCTCCTCCCTCCTGTGGCACTGCTTCTCACTCCTATGGCACTGCCCCTCACTCCTGTGTCACTGCCCCTTGCATGTGTGTTACTGCCACTAATATGGCACTGCCCATGTGGCACTGCCTCTCACTCGTGTGTCATTGCCTCTTGCTTGTGTGGCACTGTTCCTCACTTGTGTGGCACTGTCCCTCATTTGTCACTGCCCCTCACTTGTGTGGCAGAGCTGCTGTCACATAACCCTTGGAGTGGGGATCATCCCTTCCCCTGACAGAACAACCACGGCTGCCTCTGTTCAAGCCCCTTCTCCCTCCGGTGCTGTGGCAGCCTCGGGACCCGGTTGGCGCTGGCAGAGCCCCGGGTGCCACCAGGCCCTGCCCTGTGCGGGTCACACTGCGCCTTTGTCCTGCTGTTCCTGGTGCAGGTCACCCTGGCACAGTCACTCATGGCCAGGCCGCAGCTGGAGCATGGACCCCTCGGCGCGGTGTCCCCAGGGAGCCATCGTGCTCCCCAGCCATCTGCGGGTCAATGAGAGACAACCGGCAGCATCTGGCAGACATGGTCACAGGAGGTGAAATCACTCACCAGCGCCAGGGTGGATGGGGATCAGGCGGGGCGGCTGCCTTTGGGGCAGCAGGTCAGAGTGCACAAATCTCACTAATTTGTGTGACGCAAATGAATAAGATTCGAACCCAGCGGCCGCAGACAATACAGCGGAGCCATTGTCTGAGTGCGGGGAGGTTCGCTGGAGCTGCAGGCGCCCATGCCTTGGTTACATGTCTTCCATCAGCGATACAACAGCGACACGGGAGATGCAGTCCACAGGTTTATCCGCATGTCAGGACGACCTGCTTCCCTGCACACCACGGCTCAGAGAGCTGTTCTCCCAATGCCCCAAGCTGTCTGCCCTGTGACCTTTTGTGTTTTATGGTGTTACTCTTCATGCTGTTTGTACAACCTGGAGAGCAGATCTCCCTGCCTGAACAGGGCAGACGCCTTCCTTTCCACTCTCTCTTAAAGACACATGTGTGCAGTCTTTTTCTTGTTAAATTGTCACTGTTCTAACGTAGAGTTGCTAAAAAAAATATAAAGGAAATAATCTGTACGTATTAATTGAGCAAGCAGTAGTTTTTGACTAAGAAAGCCAGCCTTTAAAGTCAATCATTTTAGATTTTTAGCTCAGCCTTAAGTATAACCTACACAGGAAAAGAAGAGATTCCTTTTTTTACTGCAGTAAACAGTGCCCTTTAGCGGGCAAATTACTGCTTAGAAACTTCCTTGATGAAAAAACTCATCTAGTTCCCCTGTATGAGGAGTGTCTAGTTTAAAAATGTGGAAAAGTTCAGATAGAGAAAAAATAGGGCAAGAAATAATAAAATGCTCGAGACAGCCAGAATAATTATTTATAATGAGCAAAATGATGCCAGTATAGGCAATACAACCAAAGGAAGAGAAGCAGTACTCCCTCTTTTGGTTTATAACCTCCAACTCCACAGTATGTCTAATTTGATGTTTCTTATTTCCACTCTTAAAATATTTTTTAGAAATAATAAATGAGACTCTGGGTTTTGCAGTTCAATTAATTTTTTTCTTTATGCAAATCGAAATATCACTGGTTCATAAGTACCTCTAGTTTCAGAATTTTGCTATTTATTCAAAAAAAGCTCTGACGGTTGTTTTATCCTTTCATTTTTTTTTTTCCTTCAACACCAGAAAGGAGGAAGGGACAATCACATGTACTGATACAGTGGTGTGGGTCCTGCAGGAAAGCTAATTAAACCAGTGTGGAAAAAGAAAACTACACCAAAATGGCATGACCTATACACTGGTAAGGAGAGATACACAAACATACAGAATTTTAGTTATAATCATTGTGGTCATAAATCAAACTGCTTCTGGAAGATACTCTTATTGTAATGAATTTCCTCAATATCTTTTGTTTGACAACAGTCAGAGATAACAAGTGATCAGCAAGAAGAAATACGACACTTGACATTTTAAATGCCCTGTTAGTGTTATTTATTCTGCTAAAAAATGCAGTTCTTCATCCACTAAGTGTTGAAAGGAGGAAGGAAAGAGCATCTCTCACTGTGTAAATTCATGACAAGTGTGTGATCCTGGGCATCCTTCATATGAAAAGGGAATATTTGGTTTCATGTGGAGAAGCTGACTGCAGTTCATCATGGCACTAGGAAGAAACCTGGCGGAGAGACTCCTCGTGATCACCGCAGACATAGGATTCACAAAACAGCAATCTGGACTACAGGGAACTGTGGTTTTTGGAGACTGGAGGTAGGGTACAGTAAATGTAACCACATGGTTAATTCATTTACAGAAAAACCTGTGTTGCCAGAACTAAGGAGGCTCCCGTGGCAGCTGGAAAGCAACTGTGGTGTTTTGGAGAGTCACCCACCCATATATATATATATATAAAACAGCATTTCTCAGCAGTTAAAAGAGAAACCTGTGACTTGCAGCACTGATGGAAATTTATGGGGTGCATGAGGGTGAGAGAGGAAATGTGGGGTGGCTGGTCACTACATCCATGGCAATGTGAGCTGAACTGACTCTGGCAGAGGTAATGACAGAAACTAGCTGTTGGCAGGACATCTCTAACAAGCCCCAACTGCTGGAAGAAGGGAGTCAGGCTGCTGAAGCATCACCTTTTTCACGAGGGGACAGTGAGATATGTTTGCAGTTGGTGGCGAAGAAGGGGAGAGAAAAGAAACAAGCATGGAAAATGGAGGAAGTTAAAGTGGAACAGAGATTCGAGCTGGGGTACGGCAAACAAAACAAATGATACAAAGGAAGGGAGAAATGAGAGAGCCCTAGAGGGAGAAAAAGTTAGAAACAGAGCAGCAGTTTCAAAGAAAAATTGTGGTAGCTGCGGGAAGGAAGGGAAGGTCACCAAGTACAGAACACAGTTTCTGTAGTAGTGTGGGAAATGGGTAGAAGAAAAGATACCAGGAATGAAGGAGGGACTAGAACAAGGTGGAGAAACTGAAAAGATTCAGGAAAGATGAGAAGAAAAAAAAAGTCCACCCTTATAAGTGTTTTTTATTCTAAATAAAGAAATGCAGAGGAACTAGAATAAAGAAAAAGGCATGTAAAATCAACTGAAGGAAACTAAAATAAAGGTAAGAGAGAGGGAAGGTGAACGGAATAAGGGAAAAAAAATGGAAATATGAATAAATAGAAAAAATAGAAAACTTGGTAATCTTTATTTAGACAATGTGGGGTTAATACAATTAGTTTTTATATTTCCCAACAGTCTAAGAAAAAGTGATACAATGATGTATGTAGGAAATAGTGTTTCATCATGTTAATTTGTCTTACATCTCAGCAAAAGGGGCCTCTCTTCTGAAAAAAAAAATCCATCAAACAATAGGTGTTGGGGTTTCTTTATTTCATAAATAAATACAGAGACTGTAATAGCTGTAATGCTGATCTGTCCTCTCTCCCCTTCCTCTCTTTCTCTTCTTCTCAGTTTTGAGTCTATGCCTCAAGCACTTCAATTTTGACATCTTTCATTCCACCCCCATATATCAAATTTAAAGTCAGTTTAAATCCTGGTTTTAAATGAAATATTTTATAAAATGTCTTAGTTTTAGTCTTGCGTGGGTTTGGTTCTCTTAATTAGTACCTCGACTGTGTACTCAGTGGCACTGGCATAAATCTGCATTATTCCATTGCACTTCTCAGTAGTCCAAGGGACTGTAAAGCACAGTCAAGACAAAATATATGTTACCAGTAAGGAGGAGATGGCAGAGAGATTAAACATCTTATCCAGACCCACAAAGTTTGTGAGTGTGAAAGCAAGACCACACTGTGGGCACTGTTGTTTATTTGAACACTCCAGCTGTACGAAATACAAACATAAAAGGAGGAAATGCTTGCATGAGTTTGGCTGAAAACAAACACTGTTTTGTACAGATACACAGTGTTTATAAGGTATGGTGTCAGTATCTAAGTCTTTACCTATAGAGATTAAATAAGTAGCATTTTATGTTATTACTAGAGTAAACAGGCTCTAAATCTACACTGTTTAACCAGCTTTATTATAAACTCGCTCACGTTAAAATGATAC